AAAGTATTAAAAAAAAATACCATTAACATCCTCACCAAGTCTTTACGCTCGAATAATACAAGTTCCTAACACGATCTTCAAAAAAGTAAGGATTCAAAAAAATAGTCGTGCATGCACACATCTTTTCGCCATGTCTAGATCCCGAATCCCGACCGAAAAATATATTTAAATAAGGTGGAGTTAGGTGATTTGTTGCCCATGGTATAAAAAAAATCAAAAGTATTCAGTCGAACGATAAAATCAACTTGCAATCCTGAATTCTCTCAATATTTCTAAAATTATTTTTCGCAAATACGATTTTTTACGAATTGATCATGCCATCACAAGCAGTAAATGGTAAGTCAGATCTATCACCATGTATAGTATGGCACCGACTTTAAATGTTAATTAGACATTAAGTGTACTATCGAGTACATACACATAAGCTTATGACGTACGTTTCGGTATGTTTATTACTTAATTTTTAACTCTTTGGTTAATGAGATCAAATCGCAAGATGGCCACTTGGTTATAATGAATCCAATATTATAGAAACTTCGCTTAGCAACATTAAGTAAATGTGTTGATAATAATAATAATTATTAATTGAAAAATAAAGTTTTATAATGATATTAAACAATTCAATTTGACTACAATGAAATTATAATAGAGTTACCTACGGCTTCCACACTAGGACATGCCTGTATTGTGGCGACGGGGAAAAAATAAATAAAAAAAAAACGATTTTTATTAGCATTTAAATAATAAAGTTACTATTTTTTAATAAATAATGTTTAATGTAATTAAAATGTAATTTACATTCATGCAATTATGTGCTTGTGTGTTTTTGTGTGCGTGTGCTGTATGTGTGTGTTGTGTGTATTGTGTGTGTCAGTGTGTGTGTGTATGCATTGTGTATTTGAGCATCCATGACTGCTACTGGGTGAAGATTTTCTGTTTTCGTATAGGACAGTGTGAAAAGCCAATGTATACTAACAAACAATAATATAGATCTGTGATGTTTGAAATAAATTAATTGTTATAAAGATTAAAGAAAACTCTGATTAATTTGATAATATTCAACAATGGAAACAGTATGTTGTCTAGAACAATGGAACTTCCTCTTCCTACAAGTCAAAGTTCGCCGTGTGTGCTTCATCAAATTATATTAGTTTTTGCTCCAACTTCTTAAAGTAAGTGCTTGCAAATTATAAATACATTTATCAAGTCATAAGGTTAGATAGCAGGAAGATTGCTCGTCACTCAATATCAATCTGAGCGACTCCTCAAACATTGTCCAAAGCTATTCCGGTTAAAATCTTCTGCCAAAAAGTGATTTTGCACCGGTTAATGCAACGCATGTGTTTCTGCCTTCAATTACAATGGTCGTGGGTCGAGGAGCTCGATGGCGCAAGTGGTTAGCGCGTTCGGCTGCGATCGTTGAAGTTAAGCAACTTTCGCAGTGGTCGGTCATTGGATGGGTGACCAAACATTTACTATCTCAAACTTCGGAATGCACGTTAAGCCCGGTCCCGGCTGTATCTGTAGTCGTTAGCATCTACCAATCCGCACTGGGCCCGCGTGGTGGGTCATTGCCCAATCTCCCTCTTACATTCTTAAGGAAGGCCTGTGGGAACATTACTAGGCTGGTGATGATGTGATGTGGGTTTTTAATCGAATAGGATCGCCTTTAGCACAAACCAATATGGAATTCGATCTCAATTCGCGTCAAATCGCGTAAACAAAAAAATGTCAAAAGGTTTTTTGTACGGAATATTTTGAGTTCGTTATATCCGTTGTGACTCTGTTGAACTTGCCATAGAAAAGTTCTTGACATTTGACGCGTATACATATCGTATCGTATATCATACAATACTATCTCAATACAGTAAAGTCTAAGCTACTTCCTGTATGTTATTCTTATAAAATATAAATAACTGTTTGAACTTACAGGTTGTTTTGGATAAGTATGTTTTTGGACTTTATAATTTATTTGAACGATAAAAAATGGCCGACACAGCAGAGTGAACGTTAATTTAATTATTAGACAAGCTGTAGTTATTATATCTTTAGGAAATTAATTGGCATGATAGTTAATTACACACGTGATAAGTAATTATTTGCAAAAGGAAATTGAATTGGGAAGGCTTCTGTTTTTATAACATTTGCAAATACACACATCAAAAGTGTCTAGGGATCAAGCATTTTTATGCGGATTTCTTGAGATTGAGATGTGGCTTTGTAATAAATTTATGATTTTATAAATTTATATGGATCCTTTTTGGTGCATTTCATAATTTGAATCAGGAACTGTGAATCAAATTCGAGTAAAAGATGAAAATCAGCTGTCAATATTTTCCCTATAAAAACATACAACGCATTGAAGACATTATTAGTGCTACTGTTTCCCTACTACTGATTAAAACCAACGTTATTATGGAGCGGCGACGTCATTTAAGCAGGGAAGAAATGCTCAGAGCCGTGGGAATGATAGAAGCTGGTTCCCGGCAACGTACTGTGGCTTTAGCTCTAAATACAAGTCAGAGTGTTATCAGTCGACTTTGGACACGATACCGAAGCACTGGTACCGTGGCTGAGCGCCATGGAGGACGGTATCGCTGCACCACACGGAGACAAGACCGATACATTCAAATCTTAACTCGAAGAGCTCCAACAATAACCGCCATGATGTTAGCCGTGAGGCTTCATCACTCTTCAGGGAACTTAATTAGCGACCAAACAGTCAGAAACCGCTTGCATGAAGTGAACCTTCATTCCCGAAGACCGCTACGGGTACCACCTATAGCAATGCACAATCGTAGGATTCGATATCAATGGGCTCTTGAACACAGAAATTGGGCAGAAGAACAATAGCGTTTCGTGTGCTTTTCTGATGAGTCTCGTTTTGGTATGAGACCGGATACAAGACGTATACGAAACTGGAGAACCCCTGGACGCCAACAGCGATTAAAATCCTGCCAGGAAGTCCATCCTTATAGTGGTGGAACCATCATGGTATGGGCGGGTATTTGGATCGGCGGAAGAACTGAGTTGATTTGGATCAGAGGCAACCTCAACGCTCAAATTTATGCTGAGACGATTGTATCAGACGTCATCGTTCCTCTACAAGTGCAAATCGGTCCCTTATTTCAGTTAATGCATGATAATGCACGACCGCACACCGCAAGAGTTGTAAGACAGACTCTCGCCGCAGCTAACATCAATGTCCTGCCCTGGCCTGCTCAGTCGCCAGACTTGAACCCGATTGAGCATGCATGGGATATGCTACAGAGAAGAGCTCTGCCGAATATGGAGGGTATCCAGTCGCAAGAAGACCTTTTTTTGTTGTTGCAACGAACATGGGCGGCCATTCCACAGCGTGATTTGGATGAACTCATTTTGAGTATGCCAAACCGATGTTCTTGTGTTGTTAGTGTTCGCGGTAGAAATACGGATTATTAATTGTTTAAGTTACCCAATAAAATTTTAGAGAAAACTGTTATTTCAGTCTTTTTTTCGAACTTTTGTGTTAGTGGTTCAAATGTCAAAAATCCCTTTATTAGGAAAATGGCAAATTTCTTTATTAATGCAAAGGTGGCTTGGTTTATCGTTACTGTGACAAACGAAAACACTTTATTTGATGAATCCTTAAAGAAAATTTTAATTAATATCAATCAGGAGAAAAGTTATTGCAAAAATATATGTTGATCCCTAGACACTTTTGATGTGTGTATTTTAAGTTTATTTAAGTATTCATTAACTGTCGAATTCTATCACTTTTAGAAGCATATAACTGAATTGCTGCCTCTGTGAACGGACTTAACAGGATGAAGATTTCGATACCTCTGGTTACCATGTTTTTAAAGGAGCCAAAAAGACAGATTGGCTATGTAAAGGATATTGGGCAAAATTGTATGTCCGCCACAGCTTAAACTACATTTGTTTGAAAGGTATTATAGTCAGGATCACCTGTGCCAAAGCGCATCAAATTCCATTCCAGGGGTATTTAGTTATTTTAAGTTAAATAGGTGCAAGTACTATAACGAACGAACATTAATGAAACATGGGAATTAATTTAGTTAGTTCGACCCTACATAGAGGGCTCAGGTAATATGGGAGTACTTCACAAGGTGCAAGATGCCCCCTTATGTTATTCTGCCGCGCTAAAGTAAATCCAAAAATCCCCCTATGGGTTGGGTTAGTTTTTTCAAACAGTCTGTTCGTTATAGTAAATTGTCTTCTATGTAAAACGGAGCGACCACAAAGCACACAAACTCGTCCACGCTTCGGAGAAAACATGATTCCAGTTCATCCATACTAATTGACAAAACCGATAATCGTGTTGCAATGTCCAAAGCGTTTTAAATAAAATTCAATCAAGTGATTGGGAGCGCACAATCACAACGAAGTAAGACGGGTCGACAATTTGCAACTGCAAGTCCTTCAACCCCCGTAAACCGTTTTGTGGTGGCTCAGTAAGTGCAAGCGCAGGGTGGTCGGCAGGCTTTGTCGTATATCTGGTTGTATAGTACGATATGGCATATTATTATGGTTACTAATAATATTAAATGAAGGAACTATAAAATCAATTTATTTAGCTGCCTAAATATTGGGCATATGTGTCATATCTTTTGACTACCAGGATATTTTTTACAGTGTCATATCTCTTGACTACCGGGATATTTTTTTACGGTGTCATAATAAAAAAGGCTAGTTTTTCATAATTACATTGTTGGTGGAGCTGGGTGTGTTTTGCCCATTGTCCTTTGTCGACCTATTTTGCTCTACGAGAGGCATAACCCATTTTAGTCCTGGCAATGTTATTTCTCAATATCTCATAATTCAATTTTTTATATCAAATATTTCTTACCTGCTCTATTCTGACCCAAATGATTAAACAAGAACAGTTACCTCAACCAGTTTGTACAGATCATTTTAACAATGGACTACTGAGCAATTATAAAGAGAACGAGTCAAAAGTACAAGAATACCTAGAACCAGTAGCCTTCGAAATCGTTCATCATCTCCACAAGCCTCCATACAGGCGGATGGGCAAACAAAAAACTACAATTGCCATAATTATTATAAGCAGGAGCGCATACGCAACTGGCCAGTCCGACGTATGTAGCCGCGCCATTCACAGCGCGCATCACGTTCGAATCTGTTCGAATCGAAACAAAAACAAAATTCAAATTTGAAATACAACCTTTTCTATTTTTAAACATAGACTTTTATAGAATGTAAATCCGGCAAATATAGGAACTCTTTTTTTATTTTTTTTTATAAAGCAAACTGGTTTTCGTATGCAGTGCGTCGTAAAGTTTTATAGCGAGGGATGGACTTTATAGATCGGTGGTTAAATTGAGTTTCTTCAAAATGGAACGCTTGCTGTTTCTGGTAAGTTAAATTTATTATTAATTATATTTTTTAAATAGTGAATTTTAAAATGTCGTTCAGAACCGATAAATAAGTTGATCTGTTATACTAATCCTATTTCCTAGAGACATAAATAATTACAATGTTATGAATAAAATTACACTTTTTTATTTTTTTTACTATAAATCTTACTTGTAAAGATAATTTACCTAAAAAACAATTCCACTAGGAGAAACATCTAGCAATTAAATGCTTAAGAATATAATACTATTATATCTTACTTATTTGTCTGGAAAACAAGAATTAATACATATAATTGGTTCATTTGATAATATTTAAATTATCATCATTAGCATAATTTAGGCAAATACCTATGTACCTATTTACTTATCCAATTGTCACTAAGTTTATGGTCGTAAAGTTCTTAGTTTTTTTTTATATATTTTTTTTATTTTTAACTAAAAAAATTAAAAAAAAACCTAAGAACTTAACGGTTGTAAACTTGGTGGCGTCGACAGACACGTTTTCGTCATTTTATGATTTAAATGTGTAATTTTATAAAATTCCCATAACCTTTCGTCTATTGTCAGCGACGCATTTATAAAGTGATTATTGAGTTAAGTATAAAAAATGTGTATGCCTAATCTTAAACAAAATAGACGTATAAATGTCCGTGTGAATACTGAAAATGACAATTATAAAGCTGTGTAATTATAAGGCTTCTTTAGTACACTAAGTACTTACTAGTTTAAACAAAGTAACATGAGTTGAAATATTGTCCTAGAATTCAGTAAATAAAATATCCATTTAAAGGATATTTGGTGCTACAAAGGGTTAATTTTAAAATACCGTTAACCTCGCAATAGCGTACATCATACACAACAACGTTTGTTCTACGTTTTGATTTTTTTTACATTTTATTTTCGTACAAAATAAGTGTATACTTATATTCAACGATATTAAATATATCGTTGCTACCTAATATTATAAAGAGGAAAGATTTGATTGTTTGTTTGTTTTGAATAGGCGCCTAAACTAGTCGACCGATTTGAAAAAATCTTTCACATTTAGAATCGTACGTTATCTCCGATGAACATAGACTATAGAATATTTTCAAAAAAGTTAGGTTCCGTATGAAAACGTCGATCACGTAACCCAGGGTGTAAAAAAAATACCAAAAAATAACCTTACATCGCTTACGTTGCGAAAGTCATTGACAGTAGAGCAAAGTTATGTACTAAAGTTTTATAGAGGTCATTAATATCTATAAAAAAGTCCGGAATACCATATGTCTAATTAATACAGTTATGTTTTTATTTATTTTTAAGCATTTAACTGCTAGATGTTTAAATCTAAAGAACAATCTAATACAGTTATTTCACAACTAGACGGGGACCTCTAGTTGCGGCTTAACCAGCGTTACTTTGAAGAAAAAGGTTTGTAGTGAGTCAAATTTAAAATATAGACATAGGCTGTCGTGGGCTATTTTACAGAACTTTTAAAGAACTTAAAAAAACGGAAAGAATAGGCTTGTGTCAACTAACAATAAATCGAATGGGTTACAGTTTCTAAATATGAATTATGATATACAGATAACAAAAAATAAAGCTATTTATCATAATAATTAAAGATTATTATTATTTTTAGAAAATAAATTCGAATAAAATAGGCATTAGATCACTTGACGGCAAACACCAATCAGAAAGACTGACGTCACCACGTGCAAAACATTAATTGTGGTTGCCGTTTCCATACATTTCATTGATTTCTCATTCATGTTATTGTTACTTTGATACAATTTATCAGTTTGTTTTCAGATAATTATTGAAAGGAAGGCTAATATATCCATGGAATTGGGATTTACCGAAGAAAATAATAATATTTTAACCAAAATAAAAAAATATCGCATAACTACTCGACATAATTAAGCATATCATTTGGCAACTAGAACAAGAATAAGAAGTGTTTATTATTATGAATACTGAACTCTCAAATAGACTCTAAATCATACCATAAAATTAAATCAACTTACCTAACCTCAACCTATTGTCATTGTTTTATCAATATAATGCAATATAATTTATCCGGCTTGTATAACATTTTGATTTCATTGATTATGTTATGCAAAATACTTACATCAAAATGTTCATCACAAAATTATTCTTGTATTTGTTGATAAACAATGAATGAATACCATCCCTCCTTGTAACTTCTAACTATTTTTTCCGCATTTGTGGCATATAAATAATTTGTCTGGCGTTTTATGCTTCTCCTTTTATACTAGGACACTATGCAGTACTTGTAATACGATGGATTTATTTTTAACTAAATAATTTTAATAGTCGGCGTACAGCGTATTGTTTGCTTTGCACGGCGTGACGTCATTCTAGACGCCATGACAGTCTAGAGCGTTTTCGAGGGAAATTTGAATAAGTTTTTTAAAATACAAAATACATATTGCTAATGTACTTTTTTATTTAAAATAATATTTTTTGGGGTTAAATAAACATCAAGGTATATTATTAACCACTATTTAAAATATAGGCAACTAGCCTATTCCGTCATACATGATTTTTGCGGTTACTAACTATTACAGTTATTTACGCAGCGCGCGCAACGGTAGCTCAAAAATGGAATATTTTTTACCCGTTTTTGCAACATTTTACATCGATAATCCGCTACTATTGGCCGCAGTGTGATGTTCTACCAGCTGAAGCCCTCCTCAATAAATGTACTTTCTGACACAAAAACATTTTTTCAAATCGGACCCTTAGATCCTGAGATTCATCCGTTCAACCAAAAGAATAGTACATTCGATACAAGGGGTCCTAAAGTACGCAACAAAACTTTCACTATTAGTTAAATATTTTTTAAGGTTTTTTTTATTTTATCATATAAAGAAATTTATTGTGTATAATACAAGCCTGAGAACAAAAACAATAGTCTACCTACACTACAGCTCTACGCCGAAGCGAAACGGGGGCGGACCACTATCTACATATATAAAACTCAAAGGTGACTGACTGACATAGTGATCTATCAACGCACAGCCCAAACCACTGAACGGATCGGGCTGAAATTTGGCATGAAGATAGATGTTATGACGTAGGCATCCGCTAAGAAAGGGTTTTGATCAATTCTATCCCCAAGGGGATAAAATATTGAATGAAAGTTTGTATGAAACTTTGTCAATTTTAAACCGATCGGGCTGAGACTTTGCATGCAGAATCATAGATGAATGTCATTGTGTTTAATACAAGCCTGAGCACAAAAACTGTAGTCTACACTTCAGCTCTACACCGAAGCGAAGCGAGGACGGGCCGCTAGTGAATGATAAAGTGATGGATGTGTACAAACTACAAACCACTGCTTCACTAGATACTTTTAATAATAAGGGCATGGAGCAATTGTAAGGGGTACAAACTTTTTTTAACAGCAGAGCATTTTTTTTAATTGTTAATAGGGTGGCAAACATGCTTATGGCCTGCCCGATGGCAAGCGACAACCATAGAATATAGACGCTTGCGATATCAAAAATATCACTCGCGCCGTTACATACCCTGACCCAAGTGAATTAGGTTTTAGAGCTAACTCACTTTGTGTTGTGCTATATATCACAACTCTTATCATCTAATATATAAAATTCTCGTGTCTCGGTGTTTGTGGTTAAACTCCTCCGAAACGGCTTTTCCGATTCTCATGAAATTTTGTGTGTATATTGGGTAGGTCTGAGAATCTGACAACATGTATTTTTCATCCCCCTAAATGTTAAGAGTAATCCAAACCTAATTTTTTTTTTCAATTTAGATATTTTTTTTAAAATTTTTTATGATACATCATACAAAATACATAGAACCCTAAATTTTCACTCTTCTACCACCAACCCATATTTTTTATGGCGGTACGAAGTTCGCTGGGTCAGCTAGTCTTATATATAAAATTCTCGTGTCACAATGTTAGTTACCATACTCCTCCGAAACGGCCTGACCGATTTTTATGAAATTTTTTGTGTATTTTCCGTGGGTCTGAGAATCGGCTACTATCTATTTTTCATATCCTTAAGTGATAATGGTTGTCCACCTGTAACGTAGTGTTCTGAAACCTACAATGCGCCTTCGCGCCAAAGTTCAAACTATTGGGTATTGTAACGTAGTGTTCTCATATGGGTTAGGAGGAATGTTATCCCAGGAAGTTGATAGAACACTACGTTACACATCCCTAAAAATTTTTTTTGTTAAAATATATTTTTTTATAATGTGGTATTAAAAAATACATACAATCCTAAATTTTCTCTCCTACCACCTGCCCCTATTTTTATGGCGATACGAAGTTCGTTGGGTCAGCTAGTAAGTTTATATTATTTATAGTATTTATTTGTATGTTTGTTATTGGGGTTCCGTACCTCAATCGGCAGAAACGGAAACCCTTATAGGATTCCTCGGTGGACTCTCTATCACTTGATTTGCTCGGAATCTACTGAATCGATCATGTTGAAGTCTGGTATATACATGTATATATGTGACCCAAATACGGACGAATAAAGTATGTAAATAAATTCCTAATATGGGAGTTACTTTTCCGACTCGCACTTAGCCGGGTTTTTTTACCTGTATATTAGTTACGTGTAAAAATAATCAATCAATCAAATACTTTGTTTGTGATATACGGGTTAAAAATAACATGGGTGTTAAATTGTGTAGCCGTGCTCAGCCCCATTTGGCATACAAAAATAAGAATAAGTAATAAGTTTTTTTTTTATATATAGCCAGGTAGGCAAATGGCTCTGTCCCACCTGATGTTAAGTGGTGATAAAGTGCAAACGCGAAGATAGCTGGTTCAGCAATTATAAACTGCCACACCAAACATCCTCAATAAATATAGAATAAAAAATATCTAGTCAAGAAAAAAAAATACGAAACATCTTTGAATGCGTTGATATCTTTCGTAAGAGAGACTGTTTTCTTTTTTGGAAATGTTTAATTTTACTACAAAAAAAAAAATCCACGCGGACCAGGCAGCGG